TCCCTGAAATAACATGACAAGGTGTTATGGTTTTCCAGTGTGTTGTATGTTGTGTGTTACCATATATGGTTTGCTCATGCGCACGCATGAGGATTCATTAAACAGTCTTTTACTTACCGAACCGCCATATTGTTTGGGGTGTGTAGTTCTTAAGTAATACATGACAATTTTGGCGACGAGGATTGGGATATTAAGGGACCTTTTGGGCTGCTAAAAGTGAAGACATCCCTAAACTAAATCCACATAACGTCCACGATGACCAGCGATGCAAATACGGCACCAAATCCAGTTCGTAACATCGGAAAAGTTCAAAAGTTCACTGTGGGAACTGACTTCGAGGCGTATACAGAACAGTTAGGATTCTTCTTCGTGGCCAATGGAGTGACCGACGCGAAACAGAAGAAAGCCATCCTGTTAACCAATCTTCCCACTGAAACGTACCAACTGGCGAAAGATTTGATGGCTCCGACCTTGTTAGGAGAAGATTCTCTCACGTACAACGCAATCGTAGAGCGTCTCCGCGAACAATTGAAGCCACAGAAGTCTGCTTTAGTAGCCAGGTATGAGTTTGACAACCGAGCACGTAACGCAGGAGAAACGGTGAGTCAATATGTTGCTGTTTTGAAACATCTAGCTATGGATTGCAAATTTAACGACGCCATGCGTTTGGAAAGGCTTAGAGATAGACTGGTTTCGGGTATTCGAGATAAGAGAATGATGTCAGAGCTTTTGAAACTTAAGCTTGAGGAACTAACATTTGACATTGCTGTTGCAAAGTGCTTAGCTATTGAGCAATCTTACAAGGATGTTGAAGCTCTCCAGGGGAATAAAGCGTCAGAATCAATCGATCTATTAGCCAAATCAAAGCCAGGCAAGAAGCTTAAATTCAAGAGAGAAGCCAAGCTTTCAGAGAAAAGGGGTTCTTTTTCCCCCAAGAGAGCGGGTGATCAAAGTTGCTACCGCTGTTTGGGAATTCATGATCACAAAAGTTGTCCATTCAAGAAAGAAAAATGCCACCACTGTAACAAGACTGGTCACATTGTGAGGGCTTGTAAATCAAAGAAAAAAGAGACACAAGTTTCCCAACCCCCAGTAAATTATGTGGACAGCAATGACGGGGACAGCGATGATTATTTGGCATCCCTTGAGGTTAATAATGTGGGTGACAAGGATCACGTAATATGGGTCAACCCCGAAATACAGGGAAAGGTGGTCAAGATGGAACTAGACACAGGGTCAGCGGTGTCTGTACTTCCATACAAACAATATAAGGAACATTTTAATCATGTCAAACTTTCAAAGAGCCTTGTGACACTTAAGACATACACTGGGCAGAAAATCACACCTAAGGGAGAGATGAGATGTAATGTTAAGTTCAAGGGCCAGGAAAAAGAGTTAAACCTACAAGTTGTTGAGACGCAGGGACCAGCACTGTTTGGGCGTGACTGGTTGTCCAACATTCAACTGAACTGGGGTGAAATCAAAACCTTTAAGCTTAGCAAGACTTCAGAAGGGGGTATGGCACGCAAAGTGGATCAGCTACTACAGAAGTACGAGTCTGTATTCTCCGAAAATCTGGGCACACTTAAAGGCTACAAGGCGGATTTGAAGGTCGAGGAAGGCTGCCAGTCCAGCTTTCATAAACCACGCCAAGTGCCATACGCACTCCGCCCCAAAGTAGAAGCAGAATTGACACGCTTAGAGAAGGAAGGTATTCTCTCTAAAGTAGAATACAGTGAATGGGCGACCCCAATTGTCCCGGTAGTCAAGCGAAACGGATCGGTACGAGTTTGTGGCGATTTTAAGGTCTCAGTGAACCCAGTACTTCTTGCAGAACAGTACCCTCTGCCACGTATAGAGGATATTTTTGCAAATTTGGCTGGCGGTAGACATTTCAGCAAGCTTGACCTTCGCCAAGCTTATCACCAGATGGAAGTAACCGAAAGATCCAAGGAACTCCTTACGATTAATACACACAAGGGCCTTTTTCGATACAATCGCTTAGTCTTTGGCATCTCTTCGTCTCCAGCCATTTGGCAGCGTGCCATAGACCAGGTATTACAGGGAATACCTGGGACCCAGTGCATCCTTGATGACATGATTGTCACAGGCAAAACCGATGAAGAACATTTGGAGAACCTGGAGAGTGTACTCAAGCGATTACAAGATGCGGGTCTGAAGGCTAACAAGGAGAAGTGCGAGTTCTTCAAAGATAGAGTTCAGTTTTGTGGGCATGAGATCGATAAGGAAGGTCTACACAAGACACAAGAGAAGATTGAAGCAGTGGTCAGTGCACCAAGACCTGAGAATGTGTCACAGCTTCGCTCATTTTTAGGGCTCGTAAACTATTACAACCGTTTCTTGCCCAATGCGTCTACAGTTCTCCACCCACTTCACCAGTTGTTAGAGCAAAACAACGAATGGCAGTGGACTGAACGGTGCGAGCGAGCGTTCACTGAGGCTAAGCGTATGATTACATCTGAGCAGGTGCTAACGCACTATGACCCAGCATTACCGGTTAGGCTGGCATGTGATGCTTCACCAACTGGCATCGGCGCGGTTCTTTCACACGTCATGTCCGATGGTAGCGAAAGGCCGGTAGCTTTTGCGTCCCGATCGTTGACCAAGACTGAACGACGGTATGCACAGATAGACAAGGAGGCATTGTCCATTGTGTGGGGGGTGAAACGATTTCATGTTTACCTCTATGGGAGACGATTTACGCTCATTACAGACCACAAGCCCCTCACTGCCATCTTCCACCCAGAAAAGGGAGTTCCAGCCATGACTGCTGCAAGGCTTCAGCGATATGCATTGTTCTTGTCTGGGTTCGACTATATCATTGAGTATAAGAGTACAACCAAACACTGCAATGCCGATGGACTGTCGCGGCTCCCTCTCCAGCAGAAAGAGCGAGAAGACTTGGAGGTGGATTCAACAGAGGTGTTCCACGCCTCTCAGTTTGTGCCATTACCTATAACCAGTGAAGCAGTGGCAAGAGAAACACGTCGTGACGTTGTCCTAGCGAGGATACATGATTCTATCGTGAAAGGATGGTCTACTCGTGTGGAGGGAGACAAGCCTTATTACGAGCGACGCAATGAACTGACAGTTCACCAAGGCTGCATCCTATGGGGAATGAGAGTGGTAGTTCCCAATAAGTTACAAAGCAGAGTGTTAGAGGAACTTCATGATGGGCATCTGGGCATGGTCAAAATGAAAGCACTCGCGAGGAGCTACGTATGGTGGCCTAATATCAATGGTCATCTGGAAGAGCTAGCGAAAGGCTGCAGCGGGTGTCAGCAAAACCTGAAGATGCCTGCTAAAACACCACTACATCCGTGGGAGTGGGCCACTACACCATGGCAGCGTATACACATCGACTACGCAGGGCCATTTCAGAACTCGATGTTCTTAGTGGTTGTCGACGCACACACCAAGTGGCCAGAAGTGGTTCCAGTCAAGTCAACTTCTTCAAGTTCGACTATCGAAATTCTACGCGATTTGTTCGCCAGATTTGGAATTCCAGAACAGATAGTCAGTGACAATGGTACACAGTTTGTTTCTGAGGAATTCCAGACATTTGTCAAGTCCAATGGCATCCGCCATATAACTTCAGCACCGTACCATCCAGCGACGAATGGTCTTGCGGAAAGGACAGTACAAACCTTCAAACAGGCTTTGCGTTCCATGCGTCAAAGCCCCAAGCCAGTGAGGGAGAAGTTGGCGAAGTTTCTCATAGCTTACAGGAACACTCCACACTCCACCACCGGTGAGAGCCCAGCACAGTTACTCCTGGGAAGACCATTGCGTACTCTCCTAGATTTGGTGAAACCTAACTTAAACCGTAAGATGGTTAACCAACAACACCAGCAGAGCATTAAGGCAGCGATTGACAAGGGTAAACAGTATCGCCAGTTAGAGATGGGTGACTCAGTTATGTCACGGGATTATCGAGGGGATCTGAAGTGGCGTCCAGGGCTGATTGTTAACAAGACAGGTCCGCTGATGTATGAGGTACAGGTGGCACCGGGACTGATCTGGCGCCGACATATTGATCAGTTGAGACCAACGGCAGTTGGACACACAGTTGAAAGCACTGACGCCGACTGTAGTGTTGAAGTCAGCCAACCTGAAATGGCCAACACACCACTGACCCCAATTACATCAAGTACTCCAACCACTGAGGGCGGCACAGCTCCAGGAGGTTCCAAAAAAGATCAACCAAAGATGGTTCCTGTTTCCACACCTACGGTACCTGACCCTCCTGATGCTAAACCAGCTACAGTTAGTCCGATGGTCAAAATGCGACAACACCCTCAGAGAGTTCGCAGGGCACCACAGAGGCTTGATCTCTGAACTTTGTTTTATTCTGTTCGTTTTCTTGTTTAAAGGTCGTTCTTACCTTTCGAACTGTGGTTACCGGACACTGTTGGTTTATTTTATGTTTTCCTTGAAATTGTATTTTAGGGCTTGTTTTGAAAACTAGGGACAGATCGTTTTATGTGTGGAGGAATGTTATGGTTTTCCAGTGTGTTGTATGTTGTGTGTTACCATATATGGTTTGCTCATGCGCACGCATGAGGATTCATTAAACAGTCTTTTACTTACCGAACCGCCATATTGTTTGGGGTGTGTAGTTCTTAAGTAATACATGACATTATTATGAGTGTGGTTTACAAACAGTAATGGTATTCAATTGAACTGTCATCCATTAAGGATGTTTGTGCCAGAATCTTCCCCCCAGCTTTTTTTTTTTAAACTTTTGTTGTAGTTTGCTTATGGCCAACTAATGCCAAGAGTGTGTGAATGAAAGTAAAGGTATCTATTTCTCCTTTTTTCTTTTCACTAATAGTAAAATGCAATTGCACATGTTACTCATTAAAAGATAATCACCGGTTATATTGGTTTTGTTTTGCTTTTCCTTTTACCTAATGAAGGGCAAAAAAATTGTAGTTTTGGATTTGAATTCCTGTTTTGTCTGTACTTAAACAGTTAATCTACCAGTGCTTATAGTCTACAGTGAAATGTGAACTGGGGATTAATAAAAGCTTTTTCAAAATATATTTAGCTGAAAATATGAAACAGATAGCAACATAAGATATAAGGAAGCCTCAGTCATGCATTTTAAGCTAGAATGCTGCTTTTGGCAAGATATTATTTTGTATCTAGTGGAAATTTTTCTATTGTCATCGTCCAGGGAGAGCCATGCATTAAAGTGCATTGAATTATTGACAATATTTCCAACATACCTTGAGCATTCTGATTGAGAATTCCCAAAGAACTTTTGTCTTCTTTTACAATCCCAGCTGAAATGAAGTGGCATAAAATTAAGTGAATATCAAGACATTAGTTATTGTGCATTCATTTATGCCATGAAACTGAATGAGTGAGTCAATCTGTCAGTCTATATCACACCATACTGTAGCATAGTAGAATGTTCTATTCTCCATTTACATGAGACACAGTTGTTCATCTCTTGAATTTTAATTAACACATTAAGTAATTAAAATTATGTTGAAGTTAATTCAACATTTGTTTTTCAAAGTGTATGTGTTTTATAATCCGTTTATAGAAACGTACCTTTTTGCCACTGATGTATGCCAGTTAAATGACATGCTATGTTGAAAGGGAAAAAAAATCATGGAGTAAAAATTTTGTCTTTTTTTAAAAATTAATTTCTTTCATTTCTCACATAAATTTGGTTGATTTACTTCACAACTCATGTGTAAACTTGGCTTGGCCTAGGGTGCACAATTAAGTTGCCTCTTAAATGGTAATTTATGATACAATCGGAAATCATCCATGTAAACTACTTGCAGTAATAAAATAGATTTCTAGCATAATATACATGCAGTTTTCAGAAAATATCCATTGCCACCCTAGGGATTAATCCAAATCAGGATTGGGGTTGGGGTCTGCAAAAAAACGAGCATTTAAATGTTCTTTAATCAGTCATCATCATATTACCTGAGTCAACATTTACTGGGTTACTAGCTAAATAGCTTCTGTCAAGTTCATTGTCATTGACATCATCTAAAGCGATGACACCATCTGTTCAAAAAACAACACAACACAGTTTCAGGTGTATCACATGATAATTATCTACGGCAGATGGGTCAACTGCTTCCACACAAGATGCAAATACAGGATTAAAATATAAATCATTAATAAACTTAATAACTAATGTGCCAATCAATTAAGCACTTACATTCACTTGTAGGCAATGTCAAGTCCACCAGACCAACAACACCACTTGCCGCACTTGTTGCACCACTGGAAGTCTCTGGCTGGATGACTGAATTGGTCACACTTGTTTGAGATTGGCTGGGATTTTGGTGACTGGTAGATTGTTGAGAAAGCAAGGGAGGGTTGGAATTAGGTTGAGCAGGGAAAAGGGAGGGTTGGAAATGGTTTGTGGAGGGTGGGTTGGAATTGGGCTGAGCAGAGGGGAGAGAGGGTTGGGATTGGTTTGTGGAGGGTGGGTTGGAATCAGGCTGAACAGGGGGAAGGGAAGGTTGGGATTGGTTTGTGGAGGGTGGGTTGGAATTGGGCTGAGCAGGAGGAGGGGAGAGTTGGGATTGGCTTGTTGAGGGATGAGGGGAAGCAACATCAAAATTAGGATTTGTTTGAAGAGATGGAGAAGGATGGTTGGGATTGCTTACTCCTGGTGTTGGTATAGACTGAGGGTTAGTGTTAGATCCTGAGATAAAAAAGGAAACAAATAATTTTTAATTAGTGTTTTGAATTATTAGTGAAATAGTGGAAATATGAGCTTATTGCAAGTTTTCCTTTGATAAATCTATGACATAAATATTGAAAATTTTGAAAGGCAAAGAACCTTCTTAAACTTGTAGTGCAATCCATGGTAATAAAAATAAAAAAGGATGAATATTTAAAATTCATAATATCAAGATTTAAATTTCTCAGCAGAATAATTGGGTTATGTTGTTGCATATGTCTGCCAAAGAATATTTTCTTTTTTTAAGTGTAGTGAAAATGCATTCCCACTTTCAGGAGGCTATTATTTCCAAAATGTACATGTTCCACTTTTTTTGTATAAGTGTGTAATTGAAATTCTAACAGATATTTTTTGGTGCTGTGGCCATATATTTTACTCCACTGCACTTATATCCATGTCAACATGCAAATTTGCTATAAAACAGCCTTTGCAGCACAGTTATCTGGAAGCTTTGGCAAAGATGGCCTTTACTATCTTTACCCATGATAAATGTGTATGCACTCATTGCAATCTTTTTGTGCTGAGTCAAGTCACAATGTCAACAATTTTTTTTGCTTGTGGCCAAGGACATTTATGAGCTGACTGCAACAACACAAACCCCTTATTGCTTATGAAAGATTACACAAACCTCCATTTCTTGGGCGATGCAAAACCATATATATTCGCCTGGAATTAGCCCTCCCCCTGCCATAAATTCTAAAAAGTTCCTTGACATCTGGTATGCCTTTGTATACTTTTTCTATTCTGCTTCCTCGGTTTGCGGACTTGTATAGACGAATTCTATGAAAAGAAAGGGCCAACATTGACACCACATACAGTTTACAGTTGCTACATATGAAATGGGATTTCAATTCACTATGTAGTAAATATAGTATGTAGTAAATATAAATAGAGATGATCATTGATAGGTTTCTAGACTTGTTTGACATCTGTTATTCCAGTCCATATTCCCCTCTGCCCCTTTGCCTCCTCCCCCTTTTCCAATGGTTAGCCCTGCCAATCTGAAAATTCCAGTTAAGGCTCCTGCTTTCCTTAAATATTTTACCAATTGCCAGTTTTCACTGTCAAACCATCATCAAAACAATTAAACTTCTGGGAAACGGCTGTACTCGTCTATGACGACCATGAGGTACTCTCCTGAAGGGAGTGGTCCAAGAAAGTCCATCGCAAGTTCTTTCCAGGGGGCGTTTGGTAGCGGTGTCATCTTTAGAGGTTCGAGTCGTTCTGCCTTACTAGTAGTTGTTGCTTGGCATGGTAAACAGCTGTCGACTTTTTCCTTAACCATCTTGTCTACACCAGGAAACCACACTTTCTCTCTGATGAGGCGTTTTGTTTTTACCATTCCTTGGTGTCCAACGTGTGCTAGGTCTACAGCTCTGCCTCTCAGTACTTTCGGGACTACAATCCTGTTTCCTCTCAGTACAATTCCTTGGTAGGCCGACAGTTCGTCCTTCACATTTCTGTACTCCTGTACTTCGGGATGTGTCCAATTGTCAGTCTCGATGGCCTTGATAAGTGCTTGGAGCGAAACGTCCTTCTCCGACTCTAACTTGATTTCTTGCAGCGTCATTGCTTTTGGCACTGCCTGGTTGCATACATAGTTCACGTAGTCTTCTGCAATGCTGCTCTCCTTGCTTTCTATGTTACTTGGATGGCGGCTCATAAAATCGGCTGGATTCTCTGCGTCCTTGCCAGGTCGATAGGTGAGTTGGCAGTTGTAAGGCATGAGCCTCAGCTTCCATCTGTCGATGCGCGCTGACGTTGGCTTGTGACTGTTAAAGATACCTAGGAGTGGTTTGTGGTCTGTGGCAATGGTGAACTCTGATCCATACAAATAAAGATGAAAATGTTCGACTGCCCAGACTACTCCTAGCATCTCCCTCTCCGTTTGAGAGTATCTGCTCTCGACGTCACTGAGTGCTCGGCTAGCGTAACTGATAACTTTACCATCCTGTACCAACAATCCTCCAAGTCCGACAGGGCTCGCGTCGACTATCACTTCACTCTTGAGTCTTGGATTGAAGTACGACATCACGTGATTCTTGATCAGGCTGTCTTTCAGCTTGTCGAATGCACGTTGCTGTTCGTCGGCCCACTGCCATGACTTGTCCTTCTTGGTTAACAGTCGTAGGGGAGCAGTTATCGTAGCGTAGTTTGGAATGTAACGAGACACATATTGAGCCATTCCCAGCAGAGACTTCACCTCGCCGATGCTTTCTGGCTTGTTCTTGTCAGTGATCGCTTTGATCTTGGCAGGGTCTGCCTTGACTCCATTCTTGCTGAAAATCTGTCCGTAGAACTTAATCTCACTCCTTGAAAAGGAACATTTCTCCTTGTTCAGGCGTACGCCATGTTGTTTCAGCCGTTCCAGTACACCACGGAGGTTCTCATCGTGTTTCTTCTGAGTTTTTCCATAAACGATAATGTCGTCGGACATATTCTTGCATCCAGGGAGGCCTGTGAGTATTTCTTCGATTGCGTTCTGAAAGATCTCGGATGCTGCGTTAATTCCAAACATGAGGCGCTTGTATCTTCGGAGTCCGACGTGTGTGCTGAATGTGGTAATGTAGCGGCTCTCTGGGGCCAGCTCCAGTTGGTGGTATCCAGACGAAAGGTCTAACTTGCTGAAGACTGTCGCTCCGTTGAGGTCAGCAACCAGATCGTCTATGGTCGGCATCAAGTGTTTTTCTCGTTTAACAGCCTTGTTGGCCTCTCGCATGTCCACACATATTCTCACTTCACCAGAGCTCTTGGGGACTATGACAATAGGGCTCACCCAGGGTGTTGGGCCCGTTACAGTCTCGATGATGTCTAGCTCTTCTAATCGCTTTAACTCCATTTCGACATCCTTTCTGACATGGAAGGGTATCCGACGGTGTGGTTGTTGTTTGGGTGCAACGTTAGTGTCTATGTGAAGCTTGATGACTTTCCCTCGCACTTTGCCGATTCCACCGAACAGGCTCTCCAAATCTCCGTTAGTGGGGGACTGGGGACTGGTCTCGTCAGGTTTGACTTGATTGATGATCTTGAGCACACCAAGTTTCGTAGCAGTGTTAAAACCCAGGAGGTTTCCTGAAGCACCTTTGATGACGTGCAAGGTTGTCCATGTGCTGCTGGCGTTGACGAATATTTCGGCTTCGATGGTTCCCAGAACAGGTAGGGGTGTGGATGATCCGTAGGAGAAAATTCTGCGCTTGGAGGCTTCTGGTACCGTCCGTTGGTATAACTCCCTGAAGGTGCGTTCGTCTATGAGATCGACCGATGCACCGGAGTCGACCATCATTTCGATTTGCTTTCCATCGATCCTGACGTGGCAAGTTGGTTGCTTGTCACCGCCTATAGTGTATACGTATTCGTCATTTTCGGCCGTGTCTTCATGTGAGACGTGTTTTGCTGACTCAGGTGGATTTGTTCTACAAACACGAGCAAAATGGTTTAGTTTGCCACAGGAGGTGCACTTCTTGTTCCTCGCGGGGCAGGAGTCTTTGTGAGGGTATGGTCCGCCACAGTTCCTACATTTAATATTCTCTTTTCGGGAGTTGCTGTGATTGCGTGACTCGTAGCGAGTGCGTGACTCCTGGCGAGGTTGTTGATGGCGCTGTTTCCCTTTGAGATATGTCGAGATTCCTCTCTTCTTAAACTTTACCGCGTTTACGGTTTGTTCGTGATTTTCTAACTCCTTTGCTTGTATTTCGCTTAATTCTAAGGCTCTACCAGCTTTCATGAGGCCGGCTAAGTCGAGGTCTTCTCGCAGAGCTTTGCGCCGCAGGGAATTCGATTTACAGTTCAAGATAATCTGTTCTTTGATTTCTTTGTCTGGATTTGTGAAATCGCAGGTCTTCGCTAGGCTTCTCAAGCGTGTGTGAAAACAGTCAAGGTTTTCTCCGTCTTTTTGCTTGGCTTGCCGGAAATTGTACACTTCGTACGTTACGTTGACTTGCGGAGAGAAGTGAGCAGTTAGTTTCTCGACGGCCTTTTTGTAATCTTTGTCTCCACCGACGTCCTGAAGCGTGTCGAAGATCTCGTCGACTTCTGGACCGCCGTAATGCAGCAAAAGGGCTCTCTTCTGCGTATCATCGGAGATTCCCATTCCAATAGTTAATCTCTCGAATCTTCCTAACCATTTCTTCCATCTTGGGCCTGCATTTCCATCGAGGTGAACTTCAAACGGTGGAAAGTTTGGTAGAGAAATGGCCATGATGTTTACGCGGGAAAATGCTTCGGAGATCGCTTTGGATTTTTCTGTGAAAATCACTTCGGAAATCCCGTTAAATCCTTTTGGTTTTGTTGTGTGTGTGTTCTATGAATAATCCTCGTCGCCAGATGTGGTGTTTACGGTTTAATAACCACTGAGATGTTCGGTAGAAACACAACGATATTTAATCAACCTGTGAGACGAAACCCGACTACAGAATAGCTTCTCTTCATAAGGACCGCGTGTGCATTCCGAACATTATGATTGGCAGCTGTCAGAAACACTACAGTCTATTCACATAGCTTTTTATTCCTTACTTTTCGATTGCGCAAACGAAGTAAAAATCGCAGTGGTTTGGAAAAGGAAGACGGTTGGTGGTGGAAATATCGACCAGTCATTGTTGTATTACAATCGGTAATCACACTGAATAAGAAAGCCGATACCAATCAACTTCATTGTTGGAGGGGGGGGCCAGTGGAATATTATACTAAAACGCTATTTCCGCTATCACATCACTATTGTATATAGCAAAGGTTATGAGCGAAGAAACCAGTTAGGGGTTCGAGTCTGTTCACAGAGTATTTTTTTATTACTTACATTTCGATTGCACAAACGAATTAAAAACCGAAGTGGTTTGGAAAAGGAAGACAGTTGGTGCGCAGGCGTCCTAAGCTTACGTCTCGAGGAAAAGCGAAAGATTATTTCACGAAAGCGTCACGCGTTGTGTGACCCGGTGTTACGTTTCGCGAGGAACCGTTGAGAATTTGAATGCGTTATAAGGAATGGGGCACGAAATATGGTCGATTTACAACACTAAGCCGGTATTCCGAAATATAAACATTTTACACGTAAGAATGATAAAACTTACCCACCCCTTGCGTGTCTGCGGTGGTTTTTTGAGATTTCTGCCGTTTTGGGCTTGCTTTGCCATCATTTTTGCTAAAACCGTGGCTCCCAAAATATTTTCTCACCTTGCCCAAAAATTTTCAATTTTTTTCACAACTTCGCCTGTTCCTGATCGTATGTCCGGCCAAGCATTTAAGGTCACTGGTCCCCGTATAGCCGCTAACTATGGCTTAGAAATACAGGCGTCTAGTTTTAACCAGTAAAACTCCTTTAAGAAGTCACGACAGTTAAAAGAAACGCGTCGGAGATTAGAGAAGCTTTATAACTACTGTTCGCAGAGTGCTGCTCACTGGTTCAGTTTTAAAAAAAAAAAAATTTAAAAATCGTTTTTGTAGGGTCGCGACAGGCGTAAAACAAAAAATGAGAAAATTAAAAATTAAGAAACACACTCACGATTCAGGGGCTAGCCTAAAACAAAAAATGAGAAAATTAAAAATTGAAACACACTATCACAACAATCTCCAAAGAGTTTTGAGATTGGTAATTATTATTTATTTATTTCGTGGCCTCACAATTCAATTTACAAACTTAAATTACGTAGTCCCTATATTGCGA